TATTCAGATAATTGTACAATTTATATTTCTCGTAAAATAGCTGACAACTTTAAATTAATATCTTGGAACAAGCACGAGCAATATTATTATCTCTGATTGTAATATAATATTAGTAAATCAATTCATATCCAAATTTGCCATATTGTTGATAAATTTTCGTCGACGAACAATTAATTATTTTAATCATATTTGTTCACTTATTATCAACGCTTTGTTTTCACTTCACCAATTTTATTCTATTTATGTCAGAAACTTATCACGGCAGGTGTATTTATCTGCGTAATGAAATATCTTATTATTATTATTTTATCGTAATCTTATCACTGACTACGCAAATAAAAATATCGATGTGTGTGTCACAAGCAAAGGAGACGACACGTGCGCGACAATTTACCGGCGCCAGACGACGGCGCTTTGAAACACCGGAATCGCGGAACTCATCGCATCTTCCATTTCTCCGGCAAAGTAGCTATTTCGATAATCGACGACTCGTGGCTGTAATAGACTTATACTTCGGATTCGTGGTATAGCGGTGCGGCACGTGTGCATTCACATACTGGAATAAAAGGATATCATATTCTTAATCTCTCTTCAAGAAACATTTTGTAGATATTCGTCATTCAAGATAACGTTTCACGAGTGTCAGTTCATTGCTTCTTACGAAAGCGGATATCCAAAAATTCGTGATTCTTGTAATTCGGGATTACTAATTTTATCACTTATTTCATTAATAAAAAAAGAGACATATAAGTGTTTAATGAGTAGAAAAATAGGCACTTAACGAAAAAGCAGCTAATTTTGTTTTATTTAACTCGCTCGAGCGACTTTTGTAATTTAGCAGCGATAAAATGATGCGAGAGAGGGAATATCTTTCGAGAAATACCAAAAAGATATATTGATTGCATGAGTCAAGTTTCAATATTCGATCTTCGCCGCACGCTCCGGATTTATTTATAAACAGCGTCACGAAAGCAAGTTTTAACATTTAGTGATGGATGTAAGAGGAAGTTACTAGCGGCGCATGAAGGAATAAAATATACTGTGTCCGATCGTTGGAGAGTCATAGACACCTGTCGAAGGAAATGTGTTGAAAAATTTACTGAGAGCTACGCCAAAGAGATAAACGGCGGCCCAATGCGGCGAGAATATTACGTAAACGGGCTCGTAAAGAGAATACACGATCGGCTGAAATTTGTAAACCGCTTCAAAGAGACAGAAAAAAAGAAACAGTAACTTTATCCACGTCAAGTCGCAAGCTGATATCGACGAAAAGTATCTACACGACTCCGCTTATTTACGACGACATAAATATAGACGTAAACTTTTATTTTTATTTGAACTTTTCTCCTTTTTTTCTCTTCTGTTATCAATATTATTTAAAAATAACTTTATTAAAAATAATCTTGATATAAATTGTCGCTTCGAGATTATTTATTCTTGCTTTTTATTCCCTCCTATTGACGGATATTGCTTTTAGCATTTAAAGTGTCAATCAAAGATTGTACGAGTTGCGAATTACAAAGCGAGAAAACAGGATGAGATACTGACGATAATATCGATAATGCGAGAGTCTCTTTACTGCGAGTTTCTTCTATTTGTTCTCAGGTACAGATAAATCACTCGCCGCTGTACTTGGGTAAATACTTCTCTGAGAATAACGAGTGTTCTGTAGAACGATAAGATACCATTGTCACTCTACGAATCGAGCTTTAGAGTACTTTCTTACTAATTAAATCGAGTTAATGAATCCTACTACAGCAAGTTGAGAGCTGATAATATCATAAAGGGGGATTTAATTAATTAGTTACGATTACGCTGGGACGCGAATGTTTTGTGCGAAAGTATCGCAGTTTTAAGAGAAAAAGATATTTGAAATGTGTGCAATAATTTTTCTGAATAATAAAAAATGTTTAACGCACGAGAAGAGTATAATAAAAAAAATTTATACATTATGGAAAATATTATTTTATATAAATGTTAACAAATGATAGTTTTATTCAAATCTTTATTGAAGGGAGAAAATTGACTCATGTATTAAAGTTCAAATTGAAGATTGCTGATCGCTTTATATGTCACCGGTTTGTGTGTATCGCGATGATACATTGTCAGTGATCTGCTGATGCTTCGTGAAACCGGCGTCACTTTCTTTTTTTTTTATTGTTGCAACTGTATGACGTCAATGGTCACTAATCTTAGCGCTCACTTCCGAAAATTATGACGCTCGTGGCACGAGCGTTTAGGGCGATTATTCGTTTGACGATGATATACGTGACTGTCTTCTCTCCTCGTTTTTTTCATCCGTTGAATTACACAATGCTGATGGTGAAACATGGTTTATTTTACTGTTGCGAAATATACCGGCTTTGGAGGATCATCTTTAATTCCTACTAAATATATTATATTTTACAGAGAATTTGAGCGTGGGCAAATTATTTGACGAAAAACATTGTTTTATAGTAACGCTAAATTACAGAAAAATTTTTAATTATAAAAATTATGTATAATACTCTTTGAATTTTTCATGTAATTTATGAACATTTATTTTTAATTCTATTTTTAAATTTTCTATACTTCTGGAATTTTTAAAATATATATGCATGCAAGTACATATATTTTACACAGTTTCTATTAAAATAGTGCTTTGAAAAATTTTAAATACGAAACAATTATTTGATAAAATTATTACGTAGAGATTTAATAATTAATTATTCTTAATAGAATCGTATATTTGTGTAATTGCCGGACTTGTAGAAGCTAGAGTTAATATCGATCATATAAAAATACGTGCCGGACGAAGTTAAATAGAATCGTCTACCATTAAACGTAATGCAGATATAACAACTTGTCTTCGAGCTCGGCCTACATAAATCAGAGCAAATTTCCGACCGAAATATCGACCATTTGCCCGTTACGGCTTCTCTTTCCGGAGATTCTTTATCCTAGAAATCCAGATAAAATAGGCAAAGATTTCCTCGTCGTATAAATCGTAGCTGTTTGATAGAAGGCTACCATTGTTATCCTCGGTCATCGCGATCGCGGCGGGCATAAATGCGATCGTCGCCCGCGATTGTCGTATTTTTCCCGCTGGAAGAAAGAAAATTGTTCGTTCGCCATCAAAGTGTACAGCCACGAGTCGTGCAATCATGGCAGTCGGCAATTTTTCCACCCACGCTTTTCCTCCTAACTCTTCTGCTTCTTTTTCACACACGAGTTTCGAGGGAAACCGCACGGTTCGATCTCGGGCAATGACGCAATTCGCGCAACGTCATTGTTCCTTTCGTTATCGACTCTAAATCTTTAAGATGTTGTCCAATCCCAAGTTCGAACAACACTGGGAAAAAATTCCGGCTTTTATCTTGATCTCATAACTTTCAACGTCATAAACCTGTTATATAATGAAATAAACATTATATAATAGAGTGGAATGTAACAGTACACACACATAAATATTATCATTTGTAGCGGAGTATCATTCTTCGAGATTAATGTCATATCTTGAAACATTGTGAATGATTCACGACTTGGATCATTTCATACACTCACGAAGTTTCATCCAGATTAACGAGCGTAGCTTAGCGGTGTGAGACATCAGGGTCATTACAAGGAGATAGTAAAAAGAAGGGAAATCGCGTGGAGAGCTTTCATCGAGCGGGTCCGTCGATTAATCGCGCCGAAGGATTAGCGCGACAACAAAATACGTCTTATTGCCGTTTCTGAGCCGAATGATTCTTAAAGGCGACCGCTCAGTTATTAACTCCGCGAGAAATTAGGTCAGCGTGGTATTTCGAATTATTTGCCGAGAAATCAGTCCGGCTTCGCCCTCAAGTTTGTATTTCAACTTGTATCCATCGTGCCGGGATTTATCTCTGTCGCCGAAAGAAATTAATGAAATTAGATCGGCAAATTAAAATCAGTAACGTCACAAACAGTATATATTAAAAAAAATGTTTTTAATTTTGATAGAGGTGAGATTTTTAACTTTCGACATGATTAAAATGCAGTCTTCTACAATTACAACTGAATATTACCTATATACGACGATGTAATATATAACATGGCCCGTTCTCTCTCTTTCTCTCTCTCTCTTTCTCTTATATGAGCACTCGCAAAAAGCTGCGGACGTTTTGCCGGTTGACGCAACGCCGGTTTTAGAGTCTGTTAATTTAACGGGGGAGGCTTTTTGCGCGCGCCGAGATTGATTAAGCGCGCGCAGCGGAAGCGTCTCGATTATAAATAATTTCGTTCCAGCGACGCGTTTTGCCGTCCTCGACTCCCCGTCTCGGATCACCAGTCTCGACATAAGAACCGCAATATTACCGCTGCCGCGGCACCGCAATGACAGTGTATACACACGACATGCATACATTTGCAACCACGCTTTCGGCTTAACGCTGGACGGGCATGTTGGCACACATATTTAACCTCGTTTTTGCTTTGAAGCCGTCGTCGTTTAGGTCTCCCTTTGAGCCAAAACACGGTTTGGCCCACTTCGGCCCGATCGCTCTCCACTGAAACGCTCCGCGCCTGTTTATATGCGATGCGAAAAATATTCGCGAGATACGCTGCGCGCTTGGCAGCGGCGCGCGACGACGATGAGTTTACAAGCCGATTTACTACTTCCTCGGCGCGTCTTTTCCTCGTGCGACGCCCCGTCGAGGTCGATTATTCAGCGGGTGAACGATTGCGAGATGTCCCAAAGGGATGTTGACTCGGATGAATCACAACACAAAACCAGAAATGAGAATTTCTTACTACTCTTCTCTTACTACTTACCGCAAGAATTTTAAAAATCTCGCTTCTTATATAATTGTTGGCGTTTTAAGTACACAGTTCTTTTTCTTCTAAGTTGGGAACATTGATAATGGTTATCAAAATATTTCCGAATATTGTTAAAAAAGTTTTATAAGTTATTTATATATTTATAGATCGTATCAATTATGATAAATTAAATTTTGTTAACACGTTACGCTGTGCGAGGTAAAATAATTTGCTCACATTAATATTTATAATATATTTATTATCCTGAATAAACAAAGTAGGCGTTGTGTGAGTATACATTGCGTGCTACGTCGAACTTCATTGTGCATTAGATATGAGAAGTTATATTAAATAATTAAATTAAATTGATACATTTCCTATTTATTAGTTTAAATACTTTTCTTATTTTCATACGTGACACACAACGTCGATTATCTTACAAATGGTGCAGGTTTACTTACGTCTAAATTTAAATTTGAAACAGCAAAAGCGGCAAAAGGTTTTCGACACAAAAGGGCAAGCTCCTTTTGCATTGTATTAAACATATTTATAGCTGGCATTTTTGTTCTACTTTATATACTAGTCGCGTGGAAATCTTATAAAACATTCAATTTATGTCTGGTTTTTTTTTACCTAATCCAAAAAAAATTGGATTTATAACCGTTTCATTTCAAGCTCCGCAATTTTTCTCACAACGCTTTCCGCGGAAAAAATAAATTTTCCAAACCGGAGCAAAATTCCATATATCTGGTCACTCATATTATATTGTACCACACTTTTATATAATAAATATGGTTTTCTTTAATAATAAATAATACTAAAAATAGGGCTGTCATTTTCCGAACTTCGGATCGCGAGATAGCCGCTAATTCTCAATGTGTCCGCGATTATTTCCGGAACTCTCTCGTCCTTTCCGATCGATCACTCGGACAATCGCAGTCAAACCAATTTCATGGCTGAAGCTCGAAGCTGTTACTGTAAAAATAGACGACGACGGCGACGACGAAGCCAGCTCGACTGCGCGACTCCCGAATGAACGGCTAAAATTCGTCGCGATATTTCTACCCGATTACTATCCGAGACTATAAACGAATCAACGGCAGACCATCGGAAATCGATACTCACGTCAGACTCGATCTACGGGTTGCCGCTCTCCGACGCGGGATAGAACGTAAATGGTATATGGTGTCAGTAATGAAATAAATACGCGCAGATGACACGAGATCGCGAGCCTCTAATCGGTCTCCCTTTTAAATTAATTAACACGATGAAACAAAAATAATTATAAGAGACTTAATATTTTTAGGTTCATACTTCGACTCGAGCAACTTATCGCGATATCGCGATGAAATTTATGGCGAAGTGTATGTATTAATGATTCGTGAAAATTGATGCGTGCATTTGACAAGAAAATAAGTAAGCAGATTAGATTATAAAAAAGGAAATTAATTACAATGTTTTGATTGTATTATCAATTGACGTCTCGACAGTCATCTGCGAAGATGACGGATCAAGTGACATTCGCGGACAGGACGATGGACTAAGACGCGTGAAATCCTAGCGTTAACGATGACGATGATGAAAGGAACGTGGACCATCGACGCCGCGAGCCGGTCCGAGCCGGTCGGACCCAAATTACGCGTCCTGATCACCCCATTCGAACTCTTCGCCGGAAGTGACCTCCTCAATCTGTGGCCCATCCTCAGTCGCCAGTGGCCCCGTTTGCGGCTTACTTTCGGCTCCTTCCGGTTCCTCGACGAACGTATCTTCGGTCACTTCCAAGTGTTCCTCTTCGTGGACGTTCTCTTCCTCGACCTAAAAGACGGTTTAACTCGTTTGACATATTCCAAAAGTATCTCTTCAACTATCGGTTTCTGAACGAGCTCGAAATCGACCCTTTCACGACGGAGGTTTAATGAGATACGGAATTTTTTGATATATTTAAATTTTAAAATATTTAAATGTATAATAATTTTTAGATTTGAAAGAAGTTGTGAAAACCGTTAAAAGTGTAAATTTTAACCTATTTAATTTTGACATTTATACTTGCAGTTGAAATACGTATGTTGACATTTATAAGATTGGAAAAATAATTTATATATCGAATCCAATAGTAGTTAGCAACGTTTAAAAAGATTTATAGCTCTTCGAGATGTTAGTTAATTACCCGCGTTTCATCATCCGTGGTAACGTCGTAAGGCTTCTCCTCTTTTTCCTGATCGCTTATTTCGCTAGGATCCACCGGATCCTCGACGCAGCTGACGTCTTTCGGCTCATTGGTCGCAAGTTGCGTGACGTCTGCCTCCTCCTGCTCCTGCTTCTGATGCTGAACTTCTTCGAGATGTTCCTCAATTATCTGCCGTTCTTGCTCCTGTATCAGTGCGGTGAGCTTCTCTTGATTGATTAATCTATCGATAGAAAACAGTAAAACAAGGTAGAATAGTCCTATACGAATACGATGCAAATATTTAATTTCCGAATAAATATAGCATCACGATAACTTTCCTATTTCACTTAGGATATTCGAGAATTTACATTACATAATTATTTCATATTTCCAAATTGGTGTTATTGCTCATTAAATTTAATTAATTTAATCTATGACTCTAATTTATTTTACTGTAAATTATTATTTAAGTATAATAACATATTATAAATATCGGATTTAAGTTTAATTATTCTCGGACGCAGACGATGTCTAAATAAGGAGTTGCTTTTTATGCATGAGGAGGCATTCTTCATCAAGGGCGTGAGTCAGTTCCGGCAGCTTTCTTAAATAGAAAGCTCACCTCTCCCCCTGTTCTATTCTCTCCGTTTCCTCGCGTTCTGCTTGTAGCTTGGCCTCTTCCACCTTCCTCTCGGCTTCCTGCTGCTCAGTCTCTAGTATCTGGCCAAGCTCGGCTTTCCGTTCCTGCGCAAGTTGCAACGCTTCCCACGCTTTTCTCTCCTCGGCCTCGAGTTGCAGGCGTTCCTCCTCCGCGGCCTTCCGCCTCTCCTCTTCTGACCTTTGCCAAACAAAGTTATTTACAATTAGCGAAACGAATACCCGGATGCGACAAGCGGGAAAACTTTCCGGTAGAACATAACTAAAAGCATTTGCGAAGAAAGTGAGAAAATTAAAATGTTTTGCGTAAATGTTTGCGTTTTAAAATTAGATGGAGTCTAAATGAATTAAAATCTATGCAAGAAAGAGATTAGGATTTTTATATCGTGTCGTGAATTTATATATTTTTTTAATGAATCTATTAAATTTGCGTGAGAAGTTGTGTAAAAATCTAACGAAACCACAAAGTATCATGCTTGAAGTCGTTAATTAAAAAACCACTTTGTACACAAAAAAGTTTCTCGCTGAGTTTTTTTATTTTTTTTTTTAATGAAGCTCGCATTCCAGATTTTTCGATGCGCGTTTCTCGCATATCTCACAAGATAAAATTGCAAGCCGCATGAATGCGAGCATTTCGCACAGGCGGAGTGCACGACAGACTCGTGAAAAACTTTCTGCTGGAAATTTCTACAAATATTTGTTGCATACAGATCTGTATTTAAATATTAATATTTTGTCAGTGACATATTAATATTATTAATAATTTGGAATTGGCTATGAAAAATTTATTGAAATAAAAATAAGACATATAAAACATAAAAGAAATTTGCAAATCGAGCAGCATTCCTTTTACCGAATCACAAATACGTTTTCGAATCGATGATGTCCTAAAAACGTATAACTGGCAAAGATCTAGAATTTGGCGACTTGATCATCTTTGGCTGAATGTTAACATTGCGCAAAATGATCTATGTATCGGACGATTATTTTCGCGATTGGCTCGTTCGCGGTCCGCTCTGTCGGCGTGTATCGCTTTTAAACGAAAGTCACTTACTGTGCTTCCCGAGCCACTTTAGCGAGGTACTCCTCTGCTCTCCTTATAGCGTCCTCCTTTTCTTGCCTCACTGCAACACGGTACTTCTATTAGAATCTGGAGGGGAAAGATTCCATGGCGGAAATTCACAGCGTATTTAATGCTAAATTGAATTAGAAATAATAGAATTTTACTCATCCGCTATTCGACAGTTCTGACTTATCCGACAGATAATTAACAATAATTCAGCAAAAATCTATATTTTGACAATCAGTAAGCTTTATAATTAGCAATTATTAATAATTTTCACGATTTTCTTATTTTATTAGCCGATTAAATAAGGAAAAATGAATGAATATTTGACCCCAAATAGGCAAGTACTATTAATAACAATACCATTTTATACTACTACAATCTTCGCTTATGCGAATGAAGGTCGGCGCTAGCAATCTTCAGATAGAGTTTCAAAATTAGAATTAATTGTAACATTTAACGCCAAAAGTGCGTTGCGTATGCGAATATATCTGTTCGCCGCTCAATTTGCTTCTTCGATGTCGACATTATATTACGTGAGGTGACTTTGGGGAAGATTGTTACGGACACAGAAACATTCCGCGATACGAACTCGACGGCATTCTTACGAGGGACACATTTATCACGAAAACGAGCAAGGGACACTGCGGACGCTATCTAGACACGTTCATTCCCGTGCAGTCGATACGAGAGATGCTGTTAACGACACAAGGCAACGTTCGACCTCTGCCTACCGCAAAGGGTATCCGCCGTTCGCGTGACAGGCTCGTTTCCGGCCGCCGAAATAGAATACTTCCGGCCCGCGGTATCGACCGAGGTATCAACGTACCTTTTTCTTGCTTTTCCTCCTCCTTAGCTTCGTCACTTACGGCCTCCGCGTTTTCGGTCGGCGCGTTTTCCGCGACTAGTGCCGCCGATGGTTCCGATTCTTTTGCAGGCTCGGGCTCTTTCGCAGGCTCGGGCTCCTTCACAGGCTCGGGTTCCTTTACAGGCTCGGGCTCCTTTACAGGTTCTGGTTCCTTAGCAGGTTCCGGTTCCGCTTTAGGCTCGGCCGCTTTCGCGGATCTCGTCGCTTTCGAACCTTTCACCGATTTCGACGGTTTTACAGGCGCTGGTTTTGCCGGCTCTGGCTGCGGCTCCACTATCGGTTCTGGTTCCTTTTCCGGTTCAGGCGCTGGTTCGGGTATCGGTTCGACCTTTTTCACTGGTTCCGGATCCGGTTGGCGCACTGGTTCCGTCTCTTTCTCTGGCTCCGGCTTCTTCTTCTCTGATTTCCTTTCCGGTTTCTCCTCTGGTTTTGCTTCTGATTTCGGAGCAGGAGCTAGGACGTGTACAGGACGAACGTGAATGAAGGGTGACACAGAGAATTGATTTGGATTTATTCCATTTTATATGGGGACTCACTTGTTTTTTGTGTCTGGGCCGTCGATTCGATAGCTAACGCGCGTGCTAAAAGTTATGAGAAAACGTGAGACATAAAGTACAATAGGAATAAGGCACAGTAGAACACTTAATGATAAAATATTAATAACATAAATCGTTGTTACATGCAGCATACTCTTTAAAGAGAAAATAGAATAAACAAAACTAAAATAAATTTTCTAAATATGCAAATATGAATAATTTTATCTACCTGCATAATTGGGGCAAAATTCTAACGTGTATCACATCGTATGTTTCTTATATTTTTTATTGCGTAAAATTGATTTTTCTGTCGTCAAAACGTCCCCACAATCGTGACTGTCTGCAATCGTCCAAGTTCTACTGTACTTTACTGTTTTATTAAAAGGATGACTTCGTGTGTGCCTACCCTTTCGTAACTCTCGTTCTGTCATTGGTTGACCGGGGGCTGTGGGGCGTATGAAACATAAAGAACCGATTAACGATAAAGAACTCTTTCGGTATTCGTGGCGCAAACTCAAGAAAGCGGCAAAAGCGTCGCAGAAAATTATACGACGAACGTGACGTTATAGAAAGCGATTACTGCGATTACATACAACATCAGTGTGATGGCGAAGTGATGAGACATGCTCGTTAGCTACGTAATTACAGATCATGTCGGGCAAAGATGCACATAAATGGCGATATGCAGCGAATAAATTACAATAATTAGCCATTAACGATGAAAGCATTCTGAGGATGAGGGATGAATAATCGAACTGATTTCCGATGACGCGGAAGTATCGCACGTTAATGACCGTTATGGTCAATGAGATCGGCAATCGACGAGATCTTCGTGAAGATTTTCTGGTGAAGATGATTCATTGATCGTCACAGACCGAATTGGCGTGACGTCCGATTAGAGATCACACTCGGTATATTTAGCGGTAAATTTGCCGAATTTTTGTCTCTGAAACCGAATGCTTATAAAGAAATATATTTTATTCTTAAATCATACAATCAAATAAATCGTTTACGCTTCAATTCTCTGCAATTACGTACATCTAACGCGGACTTATATTATTAAATTAAATTATATGTCATGCTAAAAATTAAAGTCTTAATTAAATAACTAATATTAAATATCTGTATTTTGATTGAAATAGCTTTTTCATCAAAATTCAAATTCTTTTATATTTAAATCTTATGTTCAAAATATCTTCTTCACGTGGACGTAATAAAAGATATATTGAATTACTTAGCAGAATTCAGTTTTTTTTTTTTTTTTTTTTTTTTTTTTTTTTTTTTTTTTCAATAGCGCTATTCTTACAAAGTCGATTCCACAAAGTCAGTGGATTTCAGAGGCAAAACAGCAAGATATCATTGGTTAAATTACGAAGCACACGAAGAAGCTTACCTCGAAAACAGTGCATTTACTCGCTACGCAGCTCGCCTACATTTTCATACTCTCTCGTGCAAAGGTAAAATAATTGATTTAGGAAACTCCCGCTTCCATCGGACATTATTACTTTATTCGTAGCTTTCTCGCTATCTCGTAAACACGAACAGGGCAGAATTTACAAAATCGAAACGAACAGCACAGTACAGTACGTGAAACACAAAGTTAGCATCTACATTTTTATCTCGGTTCCCTTTTTTCCCTTTTTACAATAGACACGTGCAAGTTTCGCGATTTTTATTGCATCGATTTAATCGGTTTTTTTCTATCCTCTTCTCGCATTCTCGTGTTCCTTCTCTCATATGTTCATTTCACTTGGTAGATCACGTCGATCGAGCACGATCGTTTTGATGATTACGATCTCTCGCTCGTTGCAATTTCATTAAAGTCCATCGAGCAAAAATCGAACGAAGGATGCTCAGAAAATACAGCACGTTCTATGATTATTGCGAATATCCGCGCATTGGACTTTAATGAAGCGGTCGACGAGCACATGACCAGAATAGAAGAAAGTAAAAATAAAAAAAGTAGAGAGACGGATATTAGATTTTTTCGATCATGACTACCCCGACAGCCGCGCGCAGTAAAATAATTTCCCACGAAGAGGGTTTTTGCCAGGCTTGCGAACCGAATATAAAAAAAAATAATACATACACTGGAAAACATAATTTTATAACGATAAAACTAAAAGTGTACAAAACTCAATTGTAGTAATTAAAACACGAAGATGAAACATTGATTGAGCAAAATCAAATTTAAGTAAATTTATTTTATTTGATAAATTATTTAGCATGTTAGCAGAATTCCTGCAATAATTCTATTTCAAAAATAGAATTTTATTTGTATTTATACAGTTTGATTCTCCACCAGACGAAATTATATTTTTATGCATAAAACTTAGTATTTTTATACTATTTTTTTAAATCGCTATTTCTTTGATTTCTATAGATAATTTAACCTATTTTTTAAATTTAAGTACTGGTCGATTGCTACATTATTTATAAATTTCATTTTTACACGTCTTATTTAGTTATTTAGCAATTTTGGCGTAAAATCGTTTAATATTAAATAAAAAACAAGCTTTTATGATAAAAAAAATACAATTTTTTTTTCGGTTTGCAGTCCTGGCTTTCGCGTATCGCACAATATCTATCGGACTATCTTGCCGCGCGCGGACGCGTCACTTGTGGAACGCGAAAGCGGACGGTATCAGGCCACAGTTTGTACGATGATGAACGACGAAGTCGTGGTCATTCCTCGGCGGCGGTTTCCTCTTCGGCCGTCTCTCCGGATTCGCTCTTCTTGTCCGGCTTCTCGTACAGCTCCGGCACCTTCTCCCTCCAACCCTTGCCTGAAACGTTCAAAAAAGCCGCACTGCCTCCTATCTGCCATTTGCTCTTATCCGCGAGCGCCGCGAAATTCTGCTTTTGACGCGCTTTTCATCCCAGATCGCCTGATGTTCCGCCTGGAGTCCCCTGCGTGTAAATGTCTTGCTCTCTCTCGTTCCTTCGTTTCTTTTGATTTGACTCTGGGCTTTCTTTTTGTTACTGTATTGTTTTCGCTGTGCTTTCCGATCGTCCGATACCGCAACAAAAATATTCGATCCGTAGCATTGCAAAAAAATCACCGCCGATGAATCAGTTTCAGCCAATGATTGAATCGATCATTCCGGAAAAAAACAAATATTTCTGCTGATAGATTGAAAAATTAATCATTTTTTCCGGCAAAAAACATTAATTTCAAAATACATAAATTATATTTTATTTGTAACGATTGGAAAAAAAATCATTTAACAGTGTAACAAAAATCAATATATTTAACACAAGTCCTTTCCGCGAAGATCGATTCAATTGCACGTCCCTTTTGTAGAATCACAATAATAATAATAAAAACGCGCTGTCGCAATTGATATCGAAGACGCATGACGGGGGAGTTATCAAAAACGAGTGCGTGGAGGGGTAGGTGTGTACGTTGCTGTTGTACAATTAGACACAATACTATCGAACAGTAATGCAGCCACGACAAAAAAAGACGTACAAAAAGAAAAAGATAGTAAAGACCAACTGTTGTGTGATCAACAAGAAAACAGCAAAAATTCCAGAGAAACACACGTGCTCGTCAGCACAAACAAAAATTCTCAGACAGTGTAGACCAGAGGTGCCAGCCAATACAAGAAGAGGGATGAAAAAAAAAAATAGAGAAACGAGAGGGCGGGGGCGGTGGAACGAAAAAAAACGTAGACAAAAAGAGATTGCACACAACGGCGTCATGGGGCCGTCTTTTATTTTCTCAAATCTATTCAAAAATCGTGTTTCGAGCGGCGAGAACGTAGCGTAGCTATTTCTCGAGAGTTCGTTTAATTTAATTAAATTTTGTCATAAAGTAATTTAGTTCTCTCAATAAAAGTGAAATATTTTTTATACTTGACGTGAAATTTTACGAACAAATCTTCTAGTACTTATTATTAAAAATAATAATTGATACATTTATAAAACTTTGATTTACATTTGATCAAGGATTGTGATAGATATTATTTTAAAGTTGAAATTTGATCACATTCAATTTTTAGACACAAAAATCGGATAATGAATTAAAATTATGTTCGGAGATCAAAATTATTATCTTGTTTTGGAAAATTCTTTGTTACGCCACGTTCTCGTTTGCCTCTTTAGCCTAGCTACGTGTTTCGTGTATCATCGTATATAAGAACGTCAAGACGAGACCGTTTCCGAACAGTATTTCGTCCGCGAAGAGCAATCTCTTCAGGGCCGAAACACAGATCGCGATTTGGCCCCCATCTTTGTCATCGTCATCGTCACTCGTTGTCGTTGTCATCGTCGTCCTTGTCACCGTAACAGATTACTCACTGGCAGACGCGGCCGCCTGACGGTTCTTGCTGTAGTAGCTGAGGAAGTTGACGTCGTTGCGGATGTCGGACGGCCGGAGATCCGCGACTTTGACGTACGGTTTCCTGACGGACTGCGGCTTGCCGGCGACGTACTTGACACACGCCAGGGTGCCGAAGTGGCCTCGGTCGGGCACCTCGTACCAGCCTAGGTGTTCGACTTCTTTCTTCGCGTTGTTGCGGCCGGTGAGCAACCGACGAACGTAATCGTGGCTACGCATGCGTTCCGGCACGATCTCCTCGAGGAAATCGCTGAAAATCGGCAAAGAAATCGCTGGTTTATCTCGAAATGAAAGCGAGTATCGTTCTGTGACTCGGAAGCGGACTTCTCCGCCGAAGATAATCAAGATAATTTTGAATCGGAATTTTACTTTATTTCGCTATTTACTTTATATGATAACAAGTATTGCTTTGGAAGAAAAAAAAATTTTTTTTTTTAAATACAATTTATATTTTTACTTCCGAGTCACAGAATAATATTGATTATACTTATTTTGATATAATTTAGGCGTGCGATTTTCTGGCGACTAAATTGATTGAAATCATTTCTACGATAAACTATGATTAATTCAGTCGACTATTTGCTATCTTCTTTTCGTCGGATACCTTGCCAATGCTCTTGGCACGAACACGTGGACACGTCGGAGAAGGGAATCCACTCTCGCACGAATCTCCCTTGCCTCATCGTCGAACAACTGCGAAGAGAGATACGTGAAACGTTACTTGTATGAACCGATCGACCTTTCGCATGCATTTGAACATTGATTTTTTAAATTAATTAAACAATTGCATGAAAAACGAGGAATCAGATTTATAATCATTCCTCGCAATGAGAAAAGCAATTTTATATTGATGATAATATTAATTTTTTTCTGCCATTGCTGCTTTAAACTCATACTTTAATGAACAAATATATTGCCTTCTTGCCGAATAGAAACATATGCGCCAAAAGTCTTTAGCTGCAACTCCTAATGAATTTTTATCAATTAACACAACGACGCGATTCCGCCCGCGGTGTCCGATGCAAGCGGACGTTGATAAGCATGACGACGATGACATCGATGACGATGAATGATGATGATCCATGAGCGATGATGACGATGCACAACGATCCTAGCACGTCGTGTTCTTACGATTATGTCGTTAGGCCGGCGAGAGATTAGGCCAGTGATTAGACTGATTGTCGGACTTACTATGTTGTCTCGGGAGTTTAGATATTCGCCGAGGTAGGATCGGGTGGACGGCCTCGGCAGGTCGCGTATCCTGTTGAGCTCGGCTGCGAGGACGCTGGGCCGTACGCGCGCCCGCACTCTTACGGGAACCACCTCGCCAGCGTAGTACACGTGATGAACCGGCGTGTGGATTATGGTGACGAGCCTCTTGTGTGCCACATATGGCAAGTGAGGAACGCTCCTCAACTGGAGGCACGAACGTCTCGTCTTTACTAACCGCGCTCGCCCAGCAGCGGCGAGCTGCGAGAAGCGAATAGCTCGAACAGCAAGCCGAAGCGCGGCGGTCAACTCTTTTGGTGACAGTTAAAGTGTTTGTGCATGTGAATGTAAGCATGTCGGCTTTTTAAGGGTACAAGAAAAAATAAAACTTGTGTCTTTGGTGATTTTTTTAAATAAAATGTATCGAAATTTGAATGAATAAAGCCAACTCTGTGTTAAATGAGCAAAAACATGATTAAACTTGATGGCTAGTTATCAAGATATTTATTGTCGAAAATTATAGAATCGTGATTAATTATGTGATTTATCAAAATGTCTGTATAAATTTGTTTCATAAATCAAACATCGAAAAAGTTGACTTCGGTTTTATATTATGTTAATGAAAAATTTGCATTCAACTTGAAATATAATTTACTAATTAATCAATATCTTTTAAATCTTGATTCTTGTATTATATCTTGATGTGTTTCGTAGAAAAAGATTGCCGTCACCAAAGAGTTGATAATAGCAAAGCGTAGCGTTCAATGAGTTCCAGCGATGAGCAGTGACGTGCCAAATGATCGGCACACAAAGGACGTGGATCGCACACAAAAGGTTTTAACGCGTAATTAGATTAGCAAGCGTTGAGTATATGAGCCCGATCTGTTAATAAAGGACGTGACAGCGGGGATTGATTAATCGATGCGTTACATTACCTTGCATTATGCGCGACACCGTGAAGATGGGTATTACTGCGATGAAGTGCAGGATTAGTAAAATCGAGATCTGAAATTAATTAGCGCGAGATAGTGTGAGAGCGGCAAAGCGTCGTTACATCCATTTCGTAAGAGCCTTTCCCAAAATTACCTACGAGCTTTGCGTAACACCTCGTTGGCGTGGACGTGATAATACGTAATACGAGAATCAAATATAGTTGATTGTACACACATACAAAACGATCTTAAAAATTTGTATACAAAACAAATTACGTATTTTTATACTTATTATCATCACTCCATATATATTATATTAATTATATTTATTATTACTGAACGAGGTGTTAAACATTGCGTTATAGAACGCAGATAAATCATACAATTAATCGACGTTCTCTCGATTGAATTAAAGAATTTTAAATCACTAAACTTCAGAAATAATTCAGAAATAATATAATTAAATTCAATAAATGAATTTAAACAATTTTTATTTTTACCAATTTTCAATCTTATAAATTTATTTTTCTATTTTAGTGATCATATTTATTAAGCTACTTATCTTTTATTCTATTGAATTTTAATTTTAATTTAATTTTGTAAATTTAATTCTTTATATAAATTAACTTTAGTAATTTTCAAGAAGAGTTATTCGAGGAAGAGAACGTCGATCCAGTTATAGTATAATACAATCGCGCAAAAAACGCACCAGTCGATTCTGATATCAATGAATAAATTACGATTAATTCTTTAGGGTTCAGTGACTCTAAAACTATTTATAAAAAATTCTCGTATGGATTAAACTGTACAACTTTACCGGAATAAGATCTGTAATGAGATAATTTTAGAATTTAATTCAACTTGAGCTCGCCGGATTTTCACAAAGCCAGATAAAAGCAAATCAACTATCAAGTAAAGACAAATTACGTGATTGTTCAACAAGATAGAAATAATAGAAATCGGTTCTCTCCATCTGGACTCGTTCAACTTTGTGCATCCGCAGTGTAAGTGACACCTAATCGAAGCGAGAGAAAACACGATCTGAAGATTCCGCGGAAATCAGAATCGACGATCGCACCTGTTGCGTTCTCGCTAATGAAAGCAGCCATTCGCCGCGCATTTCAGTCGTAAACTACCAGGTGAGTGTACTTACCTGGATGATACTGGAGAGCGGTATGATGATGGGTCGAGTCTGCACAGTCGTGTGTTTACAGAGACGGGTGTGTGTTTAACCATTTAAAAAATTTTTTTTTTATTTTATCCGTCGAGATATCCAACGATGACGGCGTCGGCATTGGTGTCGGCGTCGGCGGCGGCGGCGGCGGCGGCGGCGGCGGCGACGAGGAACGAGGAGTCGCATGTAGGAAACAGAGTAAATAGAAAGAAGAACAACACTCGGTTAGTGACTCGGGTGGCTAGTGTGCGCTTCGTCTTCTTCGTCCCGATTTTTCCTCGCTATTTCGTTCGCCTCGCGCCGTGCTTAACGCCCTTTCGCGTCGTCCCGCGAGGATAGATCGGAAGGGATGAAAAGGCTCGCCGGTGGAAGGAGAAGAGAGAAAAGAGCGCGAGAGATTCCGTGCGTGTCGCGGCGAATTTTCTTTTCCCGACCTATCAGTTTGGCCAATTGTCGCGTTGTGTGTCTATCGAGATGACGACGACGACGATGATGATGATGATGATGATGTATCATTGTTAGTCGTGATTAGTAAAGTTTGTTTCACACCGCGAGATAATTGTTTCGCGGAGAAAGCAGTTTTTTTTTTCCTTGCGTACTGCGATGGTTTATAGGGTAACCATAACCTCAGGAGGAACAATTATCTATTCTTCATAGTTTCAGTGTTCAAAAATAATATTTGAATTATGAGTTTACGAATATTGAACTTTCCACCCGACTCCTGGAGAGTTTAAATATCAAATATTAATTTAATATTTGGCTATTTTGCTTTTGAATATAGCGAGAATAAATGATGTTCCTACAAACGTGGCATCCATTTAAAAAAGAAAAAGTTTTTATTATTCCAACAGGATGATAAAAAACCGATCTAGAGAAGAAGTATGTTCATATGTATTCTTTGTTCATATTTTATTAAGATTTTTTTTCACTTCCTGAGATCGTGGCTGTCACGCACTAATGCAATAAACATCTCACAGGATAATAAAAAAACTTATAAAAACATCAGAACGATACAAACTTTTCGACACTCGCTATAATAGATATGATTTATGAAAAACGCCCCTTCAACTGTACGAAATATGAAAACATCCCCGAGGGAAAGGAAGGAAAGTTTTCGAATTAGGGGAGAACGTACATTTAGGGAACAGAACTGTTAAAAAAAGACAAACGGTTGCACAATTCGCGAGACTTCGGACTCTTGCAGGCAGCGATCGATTGATTCGATTCGCAATTAAACACGAGTGTCTCTCGATTAAACTCGCATAAAATGGGTACAAATTTTTACAGTGCTGTTTTATCCAATTTATTATCGTGGTTATTTACAGATTACATTTTTGCACTGCAAAAAAAAAAGCGCAAAGCTCCAGAAAACTTGTTTAAAATTCAAGAGTCTCACAAAAATAGAATATACATAGATATAACTTTTATAAGAAGATCGGAAACATCAATCTGCACTATATCGTTTACGACAGTGGACTACTAGACTTGATAAAAATGCCAGGTCGATAATTCAGCTCTCGCTGTTAGCGCGACTAGATTTAGTTCATCTCTAAATGCGTATCTATCTCCGACTTTCGGGCTACAGCAACAACAAGTGTAATAATAATGTTTAACAATACATTAGAATCGTTTCCCTGCCGATCCACGTTTAAAGCGCGCAGTTTTTTCTCTTTTTTTTAATCAAAAAATTTTTTTACGAAAATCAAAGCGTACAAAACTGAAACGAAGGGAAATCCTAGATCGGCAGTTAACGGAAAGACGATATTCCGATTTCATCGATAGCGACGACTCGCTCAAACTATTACAAATACCGATATCGGGTTTATGCTTGTTTTAATTCGGTTTTTATTTCCATCATAGAGCGAATAAATATATAAATCGCGAAATAATCTCGTTGCGAAAAAGTAGATTTAAAATTCAACATATTTTACACGCTTCGCGCCACTGACTTCTAACTTCGCAAGCTAAAAGGAAATCTCTGTCGACATCTCGTGAGATTTAACTTTGTAATTCCCGTCGACAGGAAACCTCTGTCATCGACTTATGTCTACTTAAGCATTCTCCAAATGGCACGGCTCGATTTCCGCGTGTTTCTCACACCAGCAAAGTCTTGGCGGCACCGTAGCGCGCGTTTGTGGCCATCTGCGAAGTCGTGTTCGCACGCTTTCAAACGCGATAGCGCAAACAGATGTTTTGCGGAAAGCCGGTTCGCGTCGCTTCATTTGTCCCGAATGTATCTTTCTCGCCTAAAGACACCACAGGCGCGTTATTTCGGTGTCGCCGAGGAATCGCCGATGCGGGAAGAATCTCAAAAGTCGTCGGAATCGATGAGGGCGGAAGTGCGATCGGGGGGAGCCGGGGACTTAGACGCGGTAGGAGTAATGGCGGTAGCTAGTGCCGCCGGGCAGACGGCCGGAAGCGGTGGACTCGTAAGAGGAGCGATAGCTCCCGGGGCCGCCGCCGGACGATGTCCTGGTCGACCTCTCGGTTGAGTACGAGCCGTACGGGCCGCTCTCCCTCTTGACGACGCTTTCCTGGGTGTAAGTGTTCCTCTGCGGACGGCTGCTGTACGGATCCGAGGCGGAGCTGCTCGAGCTGTTGTTGGTGTACGAATAGCTGTACTGCTCTTGGGCGGACCTCACCCCGGCCTCCGGATAGTCGCGGACCACGTAGTGACGAGGCGTCTACGGATTCGGGGTTAGATCAAGGTCAACGACATGGGGGACCACAGGCTCGCCTGGAGAACGTCCGGTTGACGAGTCTCGGCCTGATTTTTACACCCGGCACACGATATGCGGCCATGTCGCATGCTTGCAGTTGTGAAATGTAAAGCAGCATAAATTCACTTGTATTAATTAGAACAGAAAAGTTAGAAATATGTAAAAAAATTGTCTGGAATTTCATAATTCTATAATACTAAAATGGTACGACGTTTGATAAAATTTCATAAACTTAGTATTTATAAAACTAGTTTCATGTTACTTCTACAGACTTTTTTCTTTATTTATATCTCGCATATTTGCGTAAATCTGCAGATATATGGAAAAGCAGTGTGCGTGTGCCAGGCATTATTCTCGTCTCAGGACGACTCTCGCGGTTCTCCATCCGCGGGCCGCTGATGGATTTTTGGATCGGGATACAGGGTTGCATCAAATCAATAGACTCTGATCGTATGTGAGATTTCATGATCGATTTAATCGGCCGAAGAACAGGTCAAGGCATTAATAATTTTTATAAGAGGAAATATACAACTCTCTTTTCAAGCAAAGTTTTATTCTACATTCTCAATTTTAGATTTTAATAGATTTGCATGTTTAATATTAAAAATTGGAAACTTGCCAAATGAAAAATTGATGTCGAATTAGAAACCGCAAGTGAAAATTAGATCTGAAACAATTTGCATAAATTATAATCGGATATATTTACAGAACAACACTGCGCGCAATTTTTTTCTAAACATACAATCTTGCTACATTTTGATTTTTCATTTTTTCTTTCTTTCTTGTGTATTTATGACAAAACACACATTTTTACTTTCCCAAAATATCATCTGGCCCTGTTTTTCGGCCGAGAGAGGAGCGCGCGCGAGGTGAGAGGCGTGAAAGGAGGATGAGCGAACAGGTGCATCGCTGCGTCGTCTGGCTCGACGTTGTCCATAACTACTCGCGCTTCTCGCGGATAATTAGTTCGCGCTGTGGCGCGGAGAATAACATCCTGCCAATCCGTCTATTCTAAGAGAAACTCGCGATGCCGTTTCTCTTCATCTTGAATGAAGTTCAACTTCGGTAATATCGTTCAGATGGGCCTAGTCGGGCTCAGAGCCAAATAAGGAGAAAAGCGACGAGATTCAGACGACGCTGGAACCCGTTGCGTCCTTCGCGAGCGCGATTAACCCTTTGCTGTATTTATTCCACATCGATAAAATAGACATTCGCTACTCTCCATGCAATTATAATTATTTACTGCTTCTCGATTATATATGAAAAGTTGTTGTCGATTCTGCATCTCGAAGCGAGAACGCAAAGAGTTAATATTCGAATTGACAAGACAGCGCGACGCGAATATGTATTTATTATTTTGTGGAGAGACGCAAGTCCGTTAACTTGTCGCGTTGCACATCTACTTCGCATTTTGCAATTAATGGATCTGCTCGTGGCATAATTTTCACAATAGTCATTGTATTAATCGCGAATTACGCTGCAAAGGGTTAAGAGACTCAAAAGAAAAGGATGGGGAACATATGAGTGTTACACAGAGGCGGAAGTGCGATGGATACCGGCGACATGTTGCGCGATAATAACATGTCGATCTATCTGTAGACACACAACGTGCGGGCCAATTATAAACGCGGAGCGGCATATAACGTATGCATTAATAATGTCTCCTTGCCGAAATATTCAGGACACTCCGAGCGTTGGGCAACGATTGCGCGCCCTTGCCAAGAAACGTGGATAACATTATTGGGGTGTATACGTGTGTGTAAGTGTAATCTGCATACGTGTGATGTGCGAGCGTGTTGCACGCATCTGTGTCCCGCCACGTGTGCACTCGGTGTCTCATTTGGAATCTTCTCCGAGCGCGAAACTTCGAGGTGGATTGCGCTCACGCTTCATTGAACTTAATTACGCTTAAATTCGAGTCGCTCGATTAAACGAATACGTTCTCACGATTGCGTTTACTGTGCGGAAGGATTTAACTGCGCTTGATATGAAGTTCCGTTAATTCGACGACGAGGGGGAAAGAAGAACTCCGGATATATCAACGCGCAAACTTAATGGAAGCTCGGTTGCGGATTATTTCTCTGTTCTATTTAAAATGTGTAAATAAGAGGACTTGAGATTTGTCTTATTTTATGAAATATACATATCGAGGCGCATTTTTAATAGCAAATGTAAAAAGATCAATTTATCTTTTTACAAATAAAATCATTAAGTCGCGCAGTCTGTAACACGACTGTGGAAATTAATATTAAACAATTTAATGAGAGTTTAATTACAGTCGAAAATTGCAGATTATTT